CCCCAGTTTCACTGATAGTTTTTTTTTTATTGTTTCAGTTCTTCTTTGGCAATATTAAAATCGTGGAATGTCCAGAAAGGCATATTTTCTTTGTTCTATAATGTTGCATGACATGATGAAAAAATAAGTTTGCATCTTCAAAGTTACTTCGTTTTCAAAAGTTCAAAATTACTATAAGATTCTGATATATTACAAAAGCTTGAAATGTTTGAGCCAAATTAAGGAATTTGCATATGACTGAAGAAGTTAAGCATATGCCAAAATTAGAAGTGCTAGGCTTTGTTTGAGGAGTAATTGTTTAAAAGAACTGACCAAATAAATTCTGTGAACAGTGTAATATGCTATTAGACTTGAATCCTTTTTTGCCTACCCTATTCAAATTTATGTGAAATTTAAAATAACTAACAAATGTACAATATATACATTGCTAGTGAATAAATCAATATAAAACAGCAAAGTTGAAGTTGTTGTTTAATCTGTTGAATTAATTCTCCAGTGCAATAGAACTGTTTCTACATATTTTAGTCCTCTTAAAATTTTAAGTTTTTTCAAGTTGCAATTTTACTGAAGTGAAATGGCACTGGAAATTTATGAAACTAAATGTGCTGCTTGAATAATAGATTTTAGTAGAAGAATGTTACATGTTATAGTTAATGTCAGTGGATTCTTTTCTGTATTTTGATTTTGTTTACTCAAATGCAGCTTAATATATATAAACAAATTTAGATTCTAAAACTAATATTTATTTATTTATATTTCAAATTTAGTCACTGCCCATCTCACTCAAGACCAATTCTGGACAGTTTAGAGTGACACAAGAATAAATATTAATTAAAATACAATAAAAATAAAACAAAAATACATGTTCATACATAATAATGGCTTCCAAAATACTGATAGTAAATAAAGGTTACTGGAGCATCTTCAAGGTGCCAGCTACCCCCAGGGTAGTTGCCCCTCTTCTCGCCCCACACAAGTTGGCAGAGCCAGGTCTTCACCCCTTTCTTGAAGGTTGGGAGAGTAGGGGCCCACTTCGCCTCTATGGGGAGAATATTCCATACGGCGGGGGAACAGCAGAGAAGGCTCTCCTACTAGGCCTCACCAGCCAACATTCTTTCGTCAATGGGGTCCCTAATGTATCTTCTCTGCCTGACCAGGTGGGGTGGGTTGATGCAATGGGGATGAGACGGTCCCTCACATAACCCGATCCCATGCCATGCAGGGCTTTAAAGGTGATAACTAACATCTTGAATTGGACCCAGAAGCAAACTGGCACCCAATGCAGCTCCCACAGCAAAGGTGTAACGTACCATCCTTGGGGCACCGAAGATTGCCTGCGTGGCCGCATTTTGAACCAGCTGTAGTTTCCAGATACTCTTCAAGGGTTGTCCTCAAGAAGCAGTAAGAATGAAAGTGGAATGGAAATGGGGAAATTGGATGCTCTATTTAAAGCTTGAAAAAGCTATTTAAATTTAAACTAGATTTAAACTATCAGAAACTTACCACTATTTTTGCTATCATATAGGAAGGGTTCCAAACTCAAATAAAAAACAGTAGTCTAAACAACCTGTTTGAATCAGGCATTTTGCACAACATAAGCTGAAGGTTTTCCTGAAAGAACAAGAATGATTGAACTAACTTTTTTTCTTTCTATAACAAAATGCTGCTGAAAGTTTATTACCAATAAATTTGTTTTTGTGCTCCAAGGATCTGGCAAAATAAAAATGCATTTTCCAGTTTTGTCTCTTCTTTTAGGTGTCATGTATTCTGTGCTTCCCTGTTTTGAGTTTGCCTTTATTAGTGGTAACAATGTTGGTTTGTCATTTGATTTAAAAATAATATAAAAACACTTTCAATCTATATTTTTGTGAATAATTATTTGTCTTTTTAGGAAACAATTTTATCATGTATTTCTTCCATAATATTGTGAAAGTTTGCTGTCCTTTGCATAAACCAATCTCCAGTGACATTTTTAGTAGCTCCCTAAAGTAAGTTGTATAAATATATGCCTAGGAATATTTGGTTGCTGTCTGAGCACTTAAATGAACTGTTTGACATGGATATATGACTGTTTAAACAAGCCTATTTGACTCTTTTCAGTAGACCGAGACATACAGGATCCTGAAGACTTCAGACTCAGCTGTTTATGTCTGGGGAAAGTTTGGAGAAGGACCATTAGATTTTATTATAGTACAATGAAATGTATCCACCACACTAGAATAGACTGGTGTAGCTCTCATTTCTATGTTACAGCTTGTTTTGGTTCTTCTACTTTTGGTGGACAACTAAAGTAAGCAAAGGAGCAGGTGTGTGTGCATATTGGGTGGAAGGGGAACTGGAGGACATAGGCATTATTTTTCTTCATGCAACCTCAGGCTAGAGTTAATAAATTACTGTGCATTAATTGGGAACAGTCAGGATAGGGCTGAGACCTCTGACACTGGCTGGAAGGAAGTTTTCCTGTTCCTCCATGCAGAATTTTTTCAGCTGTGTGATGTTTGAGGGGTTTCTTACAAACACAACCTGTTTCAAATCACCCCACAGCACCTTGATGGGATTTAGAGCCGGGCTTTGACTTGGCCATTCCAGAACCCTCTACTTCTTTTTTTTCCAGCCATTCCTTGGTGGATTTACTGGAAGGTTTAGGGTCATTTGCAAGGTCCACTTTTGGATGAGCTTCAGTCTTCTGACATGGTCTCATATTATCTTCAAGCACCCTCTAGTACAATGAAGAATTCATAGTGGATTCTATCATAGTGGGCTGCCCAAGTCCTGATGCAGCAGAGCAGCCCCAAACCATAACATTTCTACCACCGTGCTTTACAGTTGGTATCACATTCTTTGGTTTTGGTGAAACGTCTTCTGGTACTGTAGCCAAATAACTACCTCACACATAGATCTAATTAGTGCAGCTTCTTTCTAATGGTATACACATGCACTTGACAGTAGTAGTGATGAGAGCTACTTGTAGGTCACATGATGAAATTGTGAGGTCCTTAGAGACTGCATCTTGCATTCTGCGCCCAGGCTAAACTTGCTGGGACAGCCTGCCCTGGCAAGGTGGCAGTTGCTTGAGATCTTCTCCACTTATAAATGATCTTCCAGACAGTGGAATGATGGGTGTCCAATTGTTTGGCAATCTTTTAAAATCCCTTCCTGGACTCTTAGGCATCTATAACCTTTCTGAACGGTTCAGACAGTTGTTTCAATCCAGGCATGGTGATACCACACACTTCAGCAACAAAGAGCAAATCAAACTAAATGTCAGAGGTTTAAATAAAATAGATTCTTCCCAGATCCTTTCTAACAATGTGCTAATCATTTCCATCTGATCTGGTGTACCTAATTCTAATTTTAGGTATTTGATGTAGTGATAAATGTAGGGTTGTACTTATTTTTTTCCACATGTGAAATCTTCATTTATGTTTATTTAAATTACACAATGGATTGCAACATGTGAATGATGCATTATATTCGTTATGTTATATCCCCTTTATCAATTTTGTTGAAATTAAGATCAAATATCTGTATGTTGAAGAAGTAAAAAAAAAATTCAATGGAGTGTACTTGCTTTTTCATATGACTGTACACATACACATTCTGCATTACTGCCAGGCAAACTACATGGATGAGTCCATGAAGAGAATGAGTCATGATCAATTTGAAGATTTTATTATTAAATACATAAAGCTTATTTTGGATTTCCTTGCACTGATACTCATCACACACAAATAAGAATACACAGTGATTCTCTGTGGGATATGAGGAGCTCTAGCCAGAACTCAAAATTCACAGTTACTCTCCCTATGCTATGCTTATGCAGAAACCATAATCCATTTGAGTATGATGCTTCTGCAGTGTTGATTCAAATTTCTCAACAAATATATTTGCAATCTGATTTAGTAAGGAGTCTTTGTTAAAAGTTTCCTTTCTGCCCAAAGATGGTACTACTGCTTTCATTCTCTCTCTCATAAGCTACATTTGGTCTAGAGATGTGCACAGTATACATTAAAATTCCATGTATCATTAAATGGTAGCTCTTAATTTGCCATCTGTGAAATAATGCCTGTGAAAACATATATGTAAGTGCCTATTAACAAATGCTCATTTTAAACAATTAATTATGTGTCAAGTTGGTGTCAAGATGGTACCACATAGATAGATTTTCTCCAATATGAGTTTCTTAATGTATATATGATCATCTTTAAGTCACTTTAGCAAACACCTTTGCTATCCAGAGGAGGAAAGTAGAATGTATTCCCATTCATTTGAAGTTGTCACTGAATTAATGTAGCTGAAATGAGCAAACAGATGGGGTATCCTAGAACTGCCAATAGAAATAAAGCTGTTAATGATTTCTGCCCAATAAGCCATGTTGATGTGAACTGACTTAATATCAGTATGCTGGTGTGCTACTGAGGAGTTGTGCAATGGCCATTTGAAGAAATACAAATCTGAAATAAGCTCAAGGAAGTTATCCTACTTTTTTTAAAAAAATGATAGCCATATCAGGCATAAGAAAAGAAATTCAAAATCCACATTAAAGCAACATTTAAGACTAATTCAGTATGGTAAAATAGCATACAAGTTCTCAGGTCTTCCAGAGCTCTTAAGATAAAAGTAACAAAGCCCCACCCAGCCCCTCCAGAAAAAAAGCAGAAGTTTTCAGGCCATGTCTGCATATTGTTCCAGTTTTGGATTGTAACAATATCCTATTATAGGCATATTGAAACTTACTAAGGAAGCTTCAGGCAGCACCAATATTCTACCAAGGATTACTGAAAAGGAGAAATGACCAAGCATGCAATTGTTGACTTTCCATTGAAAATATAAAATTGAACAGTTAAACAACACTATCTCCATCTTTAGATGAAGCAAATCATTTCTTTGGTAAGTAGAAAACAAAATAATCCATTTTTAAATGAACAAAACAGAGAATTATTTAAGATGTTAAACTGTTGACAATCTTTCCCAGAGTTAATCCTCGATGAAAAGTGCTTTCAAAATTCTAAAAGTTATAAAGAAAGAAATTACTTCATTATTTGTATTCTGAAATAATGAAAATGTCAGTTATGTCTTCTACAAATAACAGACACAAGTCACGAACTCTTACAAAGAAGAATAAAATATATTTAGCATTTTCATCACTGGTTCACTGTATTAATGTTCAAGATTTGGACTGACATCTAAATGTAACTGTCAGAGATGTACAACATGTTATCTTCCAAGAAAATGTCATGCTGATTTTCAGAGATTCTCAGGACAGGAACAGGTTGGAAGAATGGTCTTTCCTCTTGAATTAAGAGTGAGTCTTTTTAGAAAGAGCCTTGCGGTATAACAAATGGGTGCTGGTTTGGGTCTCTAAAGCAGACTCAGGGCTAGCTGACCGCTTTGCAGGGCTGTTGGGAAGATCTAACGATACATTCCCATTTATTTTCTCTCTCTTTGCCAATAAATTACTTCTTTCTGTTTCTGAAAGAAATTTTCAGAATCAAAACTCTAGTTTACTTAAGAACTGGAATTTTCTTGTCTACACATCTAATGAAAAAACTGCCTTAATTAATGCAGTGTATAAGCAATTATGCAGACAGTAAGCAGCAGCCTGATACTATTTTCCTCGCTATTCTTAATTTAAAATATTTATGAGCTAATTTTTTAGGAACAAAATGTATACCTACCTGGTCTTGATCCTTTACTGGCTAGTGATTCTTGGCTTGAAGTCCTAAATGGAAGTAAGATTGTTTAACCATTCTGTACAAATCAAACATATTTAGTGTGACTTTAATAAGGATCCCAGGAAAAGAATTAATATAAATAGATAGGTAGACAGGAGTTGAACAGAAAGATCTACATTCCTTCAGTGTGTAAAGCATTCTGGCAGCAATCTTCTCTAGAATAATAACTGATGAAAAGTTGTCCCCTTCCCGCGAATCTCCATGATAATTTCCCCATTTGCTGTTCGATTTCAGAACAGCAAATGGTTTTATCAGCAGACTGGATTTTAGAGTCTTCTAATCCATTTCACTGTGCCTACAGAAAATTCCCCAAATAGTGTTCCCTACTAATATAAATAATGCGCACCTTCTCACTGAAGCATATCACCAAATTAATAATACTGCAATGCTGTCTTTAAAAAACACAGAGAAGCCACAGTCATTTGAAAGCAGTTGTATGTATGTAGCGGTGACAATATCTGCATGATGGTCTGCAACTATACGTTATATAACTCTCATCCTAAAAAATAATGTTGTACTGAACTTAAATATCAAGTGCATACTAAATAAAAATACTACTACGTTACTAGTGGGATATTATCTCCCTTTCCATGGGCATTCCAGGTCCAGCTGCTTTTGCCATGACAAAAATGACAAAAGCAGCATCACGTTGCAAGCTCTGCCCCTTTGGGGCACGCATGTGACATCATGATACATGACCAAAAAGGGCAGAACTTGTGGCGCAGCGATGAGGCATCATATACATGATGATCATATACATTTGGAAAAGGCAGAATGTATTTTTCTTTTCGTTGGTGGGCGCACACTTCTTGGAGAATGAATCATGAGTTTTACCACAGTAGGTCAAGCTGTAAGATTGCAGTATTACCACCGATAGTGTCAAAATTACTTGCTTTGAAATATTATCCACCTGAATCAATCCATTGTAGGATGATGGCCTTTTCACTGAAGGTTATGGACCATAATCTATCACACTCATCCAGTCCAGTTGGTAGATAGATGGTTTTTGACTTCCCAGTCTAGGGCTGAGAGAGAATGACTGACCCAAAGTCACCCCGCCATCTTCCATGCCTAAGGGAAGATTAGGATCTGGACCTTCCCATTCCACTGGCTCTCATGCTTCTCTTAAATAATTTTGTTTAAGTCAGGCTGTCCCCCTTGAGATTGTGAGCAGTTTAATTATACTTGCAGGAACCCTGAGAAGCTTTGGATAAACAGGTTACAGTAGGTGCTTCCATGATGCAAACTCCATTCCTTGTGCACTTTTTGTGAGTGTACCTGAGCCGGTGGCCTTCGTTAAGTATTCCTTTCTGAGCCCTCAGCAAAGCCTGAATGTTTGGAGCTTCACTTTCAATCTGTGGCGTTGGCTTATAATTCAACAGATCTCGGCTGGTCATATCTGAGCGTATGAAATTGGATACAAACTCCTTCTCTAAAATACAAAGAATATAGGGGCAGTTTAAAAGATAAGTTTTGCAGCTTACCTTCTGGCTCTGTGGCGAGCATTTTCCTCATGTTTAAATGTCACTCCGTGTGGTATGCTTGGTGACTGAGAGTGTGGGTACGTGCAGAAAGTTGATTAAGAGCCAGAGCCAGTGTGGCAAATTCCCTCTCCCTGTAGCTGAAGGAGGCTTCCTTCATTCTCTTTCAGAATTAGAGAATATTCCACACACATGTAATCTAGAGAATTTTCCTAGAAATAATGTTTAAGCCTCATCCTCTATCTGCACATCATTGTGCTTCAATGTGCAACTTGTCCACCACATCAGATCTAGTCCTATATTTAGTTGATACGACTTTAAAAGATGCAAGAGTGAGAGTCTTCCTTCTCCCTGAATGAAATAAAATATGTTCCAGATTCTTTCCATATGGTTATTTTTTCCATCAAACTTTTTAAAATGAGTCCAAACTTTATTAACAGGAGTATTTGCAGGAGGAATAAAAAGGTCAAGATGGTGGCTTCCATCACACAGTCATAGCCATCATCTTGACCTTTTCATCCTCTTGTGGATGCCACAGTTTATTAACATAACAACATCACATCATCACATCATCATCACATCATATAAAGTCTTTTGGAGTGGGCAGCCATAATACAATTAAAATTATTATTATTATTATTATTATTATTATTATTATTATTATTATTATTATTAAAAATGACAAATATTGCCTGCTACATTTTATATTCAACTGAATTTAGGAAACCTTCCTAATGTTAAGAGCAGTTCAACAATGCAATAAATTATTCATTTAGTTGTTAAGCTTACTTTGCTGGATATGTTCAAGCAGAGGTTAAACAACCATCTTCTGGGGATGGTTGCTGCCCTGAGAATGGGGTTGAACTCAATGGCCCGAATGGCCCCTTCCAATTTTTTGATTATATCCTATGTTTAAAACCACAATGGCTGGCTTCACAAATCACATATTTTTATTTTTTAAATTAAAAAAAAAATAATGTGCAAGTACAAATCCTGCCTAATTAGGCAATCCTTCGTGTGTTTTTCTAGCTTTGCTGTTTTTCTAGTTTTGCTGTGGTCATGTTTTGCTTCTGGACTATTGAGTTTGCCTGCAAGAGGGAATGATATTCTGATCTGAAGTTGCTTACTGCAATTTTGTATAAATCTTGAGATATAATATAGTAGGATTGAGCATGTTTTGGAACCGATTCAGAAGCACTTTGGTCTCTATGTGAATACAGCACCTCTTGGCTATTCATTAATATAGCCAATCATTTTTCAAACTTCTGGGTAAGATGAAAGAAAGATACAGCTGTTTCAACAGGCACATTACCTTTAATGAGCCAGATCCTTAAAGCAGCAGTAGCAGCACATTTAGGTTCATGTAAAAGCCTGAAAACTGATGTGTTGCTTTAAGGAATAGCAAAGCATTCCAGAGCATGTCTTCCAAATCATTTTCAAAGTGTATTGAACACAGTTCTAATATGAGTTCCTTTTTTAAAATGCATGTAGTTTGTTAATAATTGACACAATAAAACTAAAAACAGTCTGATTGTGTGCAACTATAACATGTCTTTTCTTACCTTTCACACTTGCCTTTGATATCCACTTCTGGATCTCTGCAAGAGTATCTGTCTGTAAAATGTCACAGAGTTTTTCTAGGACCTAGAAGAACATCAAGATGGTCATATTAGGCAGTAGTTTTGACTTATCGTACAAATCTATTTACCTTTTTAATGTTCCAGTTCAACTTAGAACTGTTTTATATTTTAAAAAATCAGACAGAATTGCCAAAAAGATGCCAATATTTTTCTTTTAGAATTCTATTGATTTCATCTCTGACTCGGTTTATACTGAGCAGTTCAAATCAGTATTATACATATCAGTTCAAATGATATATAAGCACGGAGCGTAAAATGCAAAATATATTACTTAACCTTCATAATGTGTTACACATAACATCATGGTTATAATATTTCAGATTTCTAAGATTTCAGATATTTAAGCTGTTAGAATAAGGCAAGTATTTTGATGAATGGCATAACAATAGAAACACGATGTGTTTTTGCATATTACCTTATTTGATGTTGTCAACTTTGATGTTGTCACACAGAATAGGGAGTACAATCTTCGTGACTTTGACAAAGACAATACAACATTTTCATGCACCTGGGCAAAATTGCAAAAGGCAGTTTCCAGTGGATTCTGAATTTTTAAAAAGTCCTATGGAAACTGATGGAAAGAATAGGGCTACAGCACCCAGGCTGCAAAAATCTAGCCAACTATTTTTTATTTTTATTTTTTGGTGTCTTTGAGTCAGTGTTGACTCCTGGAAACTGCCTGAACAAGTCCCTTCAGTTTTCTTGGCAAGATTTCAGAAGTGATTTGCCATTGCCTCTTTCCTAGGGCTGAGAGAAAGGGACTGGCCCAAAGTCATCCAGATGGCTTTGTGCCAAAGGTGGGATTAGATCTCACGGTCTCCCAGTTTCTAGCCTAGTGCAATCTTTATTCTTTATTGCCATTTAGGGATCACCCAGATTTTTGCTGCCCAAATATGGTAGCCTAAGGAAAAAAAGGCCCACCAATATTGGTTTCTTAGGTGCCATTGGCTAAGTAATGCAATATTAATACAGTTGGTCCTCGTTTAACAACCACTCATTCAGCAGCTGTTCGAACTTGTGATGGAGCTGAATGAATGGTACTTACAACTGGTCCTCGAAGTTCCAGCCATCACAGTGCCCCAGCAGTCACATGATACCAATCCAGGTGCTCAGCAACTGGCCCGGATTTCCAACCATCACAGTGTCCCACGGTCATGTGATCACCTTTTGCAACTTTCCCTACTGGCTTCCCACAAGCAAAGTCAGTGGGGAAGTCGGCAGGAAGCCAGAAGCTGTGATCACATGAGGTCCTTGCTTAATGACCCACAGTGATTCACTTAACAGCAGTAAGGACTGCTGGAACTGCCATCACTAAGCAGCACATTCACGTGATGTCACGCTTCATGACCACATTGCTTAGTGATGGAAATTCCAGTCCCAATTATAGTCATTAAGAGAGGACTACCTGTAATTCAGTTGGGTTTTGTATACACCTTTGGTTCATCACAGTGCCTTCTAGGATTCTATTGCAGCCTTCCCTGGGATGAGTGTCCTCCACTCATGTGGAGTTAAATTCTTCCAGCATGGCCACTGTGACTTTGCAAATTTAAGTCTATGTATGTGGAGGATACCACAGTTGGGGACAGCTGTCCTGGAACATTTATGGGTTATAAAGAAGGTTTAAACATTTATCTGCATTCAGTTCCCAATAATTTCATCTACCACCTGCATTTTTTTACTGATAGTTCCAATTAAATAGTGACAATGCAAACAATTCAAAGAAAAATAAGACCACTACAGAACACTTCCTGGAATGCTAAGAGAAAAATTACTGTGGATTCCACTGTTTCACTATCTTCTAAGCACAATTCTTCTTTGGCCAACATGAAATCAAATTCAATTCAAACCTTTATTGGCATTACAAACATTAAAATACAAGGAATTAGCATATCATAAGGATAACAGCAAAAAAACAATACTCAAAGAAGAGTTTGGTTACATTTTCTTTTGAACACTTCCTCCAAGAACTTAGCAACGATTTGGGTAATCTCGGGTATAGCATCACAAAGCAAATACTGGCAGGATGATGCAGAATCCACATTGTTCAGTGGGTATTTACCCTGCAAAGGTCTTAAGAGCAAATCATGCTGAAGAGGCACAAATAAATGACAATCGAAAATGATATGATAGATTGTATCTGGGCTGCCACAAAGACAGAGCCTGTCATGGATGAGAATGCATTTATACCTTCCA